TAGTCCCATTTGTTGTTTTCCAGCACTAAGTTGCTTGCTAAATATGTACCAGGAGGAAAGTCCCCATTTTCCTGCTTGACCACTGTTTACACTTCTCTTAAATGTTTGACAACAAATTCTTCTTGTCTTAGCCAAGGCCTGTTGCATGGAAATTGCTATTACATGGAGCCCAGCTCTGGAGCAGACCAAAAAAACATTCACCTACATTCTTCTACAGCTTGGTAGCTATTTCTTTAAGCAAGGGGTGCAGAGCCCCGTGCAGTTGATGGGCTGGATCCAAAAGGTTTGAGGATAACTCAAAAGGATTTTGACAGGAAGGAATTGCACCATGGCTTCTGAATATTGAAGGGAAAACCAAACAATATAAATTAGGGTTGCCACATTTCAAAATGTAAAAACCAGGACACCCCGAAAATTGTTCCTGAGCTTTTCAAAGACAAAAATACCAAAAAAGTGATATTTCAATTGACTTGCCTAAGATTCAGGACAAAGCGCCAGAAATCAATTCCACCTTTGAAATCCTGGGAATGTCTAGATGTATGGCAGCCCTATGATATGTAATTCAGTGCCCAAGTTTTATGGGGTCGTTTTCAATGTCCTCTGCCTGTTTGGTTTTTAGTGGTCCAGGTTTTGCCAGCCAACTCAGCTGAAAGCAATAAACCAGTTTCTGAACTGAAAGGATCCTTAAAAACTGAACCTTATATATATGCTTTATAGCTGTTTGGGAGGGCATTAGGCCTATACATTGAAAAGTGGGTTATACTTACAATCAACTATACCAGGGATGGCGAACTGGTATAGCTGGTGTAGGAAAACTGTCCCATCAGCTCAAGCCAGCATGGTCAATGGCCAGGAATAATGGAAATTGTGGTCTTTTAGATGTTGCTGGATTCCAGGTCACCCAACATTTCCCTAGGGAATTGTAGTGCAAAATCTGGAGAAACATAGGCATATCATACTATACTAGATCACTCTGGGATCTCGGAGACGTCTCAATAACAAAATGTCTTTAGTCTAATATCCTCTTAACTCAGCCTTGTTGCTTCTTCTGGATGCAAATTCCACTGTCCACTTGATGAGAAAGTGGTAGTGTTTTCCCTCCCTCAAACCATGTAATCTCACTGCATATTGTTTAAAAGGAATTGTTGTTGTTGTTTAGTCGTTCAGTCGTTTAGTCGTGTCCGACTCTTTGTGACCCCATGGAACAGAGCACGCCAGGCACTCCTGTCTTCCACTGCCTCCCGCAGTTTGGTCAAACTCATGCTGGTAGCTTCTATGACACTGTCCAACCACCTTGTCTTCTGTCGTCCCCTTCTCCTTGTGCCCTCAGTCTTTCCCAGCATCAGGGTCTTTTCCAGGGAGCCTTCTCTTCTCATGAGGTAGCCAAAGTATTGGAGCCTCAGCTTCAGGATCTGTCCTTCCAGTGAGCACTCAGGGCTGATTTCCTTAAGAATGGATCGGTTTGATCTTCTTGCAGTCCATGGGACTCTCAAGAGTCTCCTCCAGCACCATAATTCAAAAGCATCAATTCTTTGGCGATCAGCCTTCTTTATGGTCCAGCTCTCACTTCCATACATCACTACTGGGAAAACCATGGCTTTAACTATACGGACCTTTGTTGGCAAGGTGATGTCTCTACTTTTTAAGATGGAATAAAGGAATAATAGCATTGAATGCTGACTGTAGAGTTATCTCTTTCTCTCTTTGCTTCCTACGTCTAATCCTTTACTGTACAGGTTGCAAACTGTACTATCTTTTAATCAGAGAGTCAACCTGTTTTCCATCCAAAGACATTTTATCATCACGCCAAGTTATCTTTAAAAAAGAAGAAAGGGAGACATGTCTGTTTGTATTTAATACATATGAATGCTGCCCTCGTGGCCTGCCCTTCTAACCACAGCTCTTTATTTATCTACAGACTAGATGGAAAATAAGACAAATTCACATTTTTCTCTGGTCTAACCCTGACAGTCTGCCTCATTCCTGATCTCCGGTGGGACTTCATGTTGAAAGAAGAGAGTCGTTTGGCAGCAAAGCCTATTCAGTGTTAAGTCTATGTACCAAATATAACACACTTTTTGTTCGTCGATTGCTTGTGCGTTGCTTAGTTTTTTTAACTGACTGAGAAGATGCTCTCAGTTGGGATTTTAAAAGGTGGCACATTTGGGGCAAGTTGTCTTTTGGCACAACCCTCTAGTCCTCATGGCCAACTGCCACAAAGCCTAAAAATGAACAACGAGGCCCTGTGGTTCCTTCAAATATGAATCCATCATTATGGCATAGTATCATCTTTCATAGACAAGAGGCCAGGGTGGGGGGGAAGCAGGAAGCACTACAATCAGGTGTCACACAACGCCACAAGTCCACTTTCCCTTGTCATTCAAATGACATTATGAGACTGTGCCTCCTCCTACCTCATTGGGGCAAGACTTACTGCAAAGGGTTGCTGTTAAGTTGTGGGTGAACATATCAGATGACACAGTGATTCTTCAAACAGCTCGTTTATTCACAGGCCAGAACAGAACTGAACTGAAGGGCTCAGCCAGCCTGCTTATATAGAGCTCCAGTACAACGTAACAGCAACCACTTTCTGTAACTATCCAATCACTGAACGTCACTTTCAACCCCTTATTTGCATATGTGGACCTGAGTGAAAACTATCTACAGTATCCCCCTGCTGGCCCAGGGTGAGAACTTCAGTACATAACAGTTGCTATGATCTGAGCTGTTTGGCTTTCGCTGACATCGGGTGACTTATTGTTTTATTGCTGACCTGCGCCTCAATCCAGCTCCTGACACCCAGTGAGCTTCGTGGCTGAGTGGGGATTCGAATCCTGCTCTCCCAGGTCCTAATTCAGCTCAACTCAAACCATTGCACCAGGCTGGCTTCCCCTTGCTAGCTGTTCCCTGCCTTGAAATTCTCCTCCATCAAATTGGCCTTGGCCCGACCAGTGCTTCAGAGATAGAATCACAGAATTGTATAATTGGAAGGGACCCAAGGCTTATCTAGTCCAACCCCCTGTTCTCCCGTTCCAGCTTTGGTTCCTGTGTTTCTGCATCCTGCAGTCCCTGACCTCCATTGGACTTGCTCCTGACTGTGGACTCGCCAGTTGGACTGCCACCAGCGCCACCGCCCATGCCCCGGTCCTGGCGTGTCGGTTCTGGACTCTTGCCACCCACTCCCTGGATCGTGACACCTGACAACGCAGGAATCTCAGCTGAAGCATCCATGACAGATGACCTCCAAAGAAGGAGAGTCCACAACCTCCTGTGGGAGACAAATAGCTCTTACTGTCAGAAAGTTTTTCCATAATCTCCTTTCTTGTAACTTGAAGCCATTGGTTCAAGTCCTACCCTCCAGAGCAGGAGAAAACAAGCTTCCTCTTTCTCCCTTGTGACAGCCCTTTAGATATTTGAAGATGGCTAACATATCTTCTCTCAGTCTCCTCTAAACACACCCAGCTCCTTCAAGCATAAGCATTCCTCACAAGGCTTGGTTTCCAGACATCTATAGAAGCACACTGTTAGCTTCCTTACATATGATGTTTATCTTCTAGCTTCTTTAAATTGTGTAGTGCTGAATTCTTTTATTCAGCCTAGGAGCCTCGTACCTATGGGACCGCCTCTGCCCCGCGGAGGACCTTAAGGTCCATAAATAGCAACACCCTAGAGGTCCCGGGCCCTAAGGAAGTCAGATTAGCCTCAACCAGAGCCAGGGCCTTTTCAACACTGGCTCCGGCCTGGTGGAACGCTCTGCCTCATGAGACCAGGGCCCTGCAGGATCTGATTTCTTTCTGCAGGGCCTGTAAGACAGAGTTGTTCTGCCTGGCCTTTGGCTTGGAATCAACTTGATCCCCTCCCCCTCTTTCCTTTCTCCTTCTGTGATGGAACTCCTATTTGGGGACTTCCCTGGCTTTTTTCTGGCCCACATAGGACCAGTCCTGATAGTTGGCCTTGGTGAAGATTTCATCCCCAAAAAGTTTTTGATCTGAGTTTCTACTGAAATGAGTCTGCATTTTAATGTTGTATTTTAATCTTGTTTTTAAGTTGTATTTTAATCAATTGTTTTTATACCTGGTGTTAGCCACCCTGAGCCCGGTCTTGGCTGGGGAGGGTGGGGTATAAATAAAATTAATATTATTATTTATTCATATTAACATTTCAATCCCACTTCATCTTTCAAGTAGTTTGAAGTGCATAGCTCTCCCTCTTTTCCTTAAAATTACCCTGAGAGGTGGGAGAGGCTGAGAGAATGAATTGCCCAATGGCACCAAGTCTACTCTTTAAGCTGTAGTCCAGCACTCTATAAAATCTAAGGTCCAGAAATTACTACTTATAACGCTGTGGTCCAGAGAGTAAAGACACAACTTAGAGTGGTGGAACAGGGTTCAGGAAGTCAGAGAAGCATACTGACATAAAGTCGTAAAACCCACCGCCAGCCTCCCACCCTGATTTCAACCCAGGCATGGGGAGCATCTGGTGAAATCAGAGTCCCTAGGGGAGCATATATTCACCATCCTGTTCTACATGCAAGCCCTGGTCAGCTTAGTCTGTGCACGTAAACAACATGCAGGGTGGCAAAGAACACACAGGCACAGCAAATACAAGGTCCTGTTTTCCAGAAACTACTGTATTATATTCGGTAACAGAGCAGGGAGAGAGATCGGGTGGGATACAGATCAGTTCTTCTCCATTGCCAGACCTCTGGTTTGGGTGGCTACACATGGATGGATAAAACATTGGCTGCTATTTTTAAGTCGCTGGAAATTCTTTCTTCCCCACATCCTGGCAGCACATATTTGAAGGGTGTTTATTCTTCAACAACACACAGCAACAGCACCATCTAGTGACCCTCTCCTTGCCTATGGTGTGCATTTAAAGACCGCACATGCAATTCTCCTTGCCTGGTGTCATCAGACTAAGGCTCAAGTTATTTACTAGGTCACCTGAATGCTGCTTCTTGTGTGTCATCATGAAGGCATCACACAGGTCACAATTAACTAGACTGTCTTGGGAACAAAACAGGTTCATGAAACCAGCAATCCATGTGCATTTAGACTAGGCAGGTCGCAATATAGCTTTATTGTTTTCCCTTCTCGCAGCAGGAGACAGGCAGGGCCAAGAGAGAGACTTGCGCAGGGCTTCTTCCTTGAGCAAGAAATTGAACCCGGGTGTCTCTGGCCCCAAGCCAGCATCCCAGCCTGGGGAATACATTGGCTCAATACCTGGTCTTAAACTGAGGTAAGCTTGGACTACTGCAATGCAATCTACGTGGGGCTACCTTTGAAGGTGACTCGGAAACTACAACTAGAATGCAGCAGGTAGACTGGTGACTGGGGGCGGCCGCCGAGACCACATAACACCGGTCCTGAAAGACCTACATTGGCTCCCAGTACATTTTCAAGCACAATTCCAAGTGTTGGTGCTGACCTTTAAAGCCCTAAACGGCCTCGGCCCAGTATACCTGAAGGAGCATCTCCACCCCCATCGTTCTGCCTGGACACTGAGGTCCAGCGCCGAGGGCCTTCTGGCGGTTCCCTCACTGTGAGAAGCAAAGCTACAGGGAATCAGGCAGAGGGCCTTCTCGGTGGTGGTGCCTGCCCTGTGGAACACCCTCCCATCAGATGTCAAGGAAATAAACAACTATCTGATTTTTAGAAGAAAGCCCTGTATTGGGAAATTTTAAATGTGTGATGTTTTATATTTTTTATGTTCTGTAAGCCACCCAGAGTGGCTGGGGAAACCCAGCCAGATGGGCAGGGTGGAAATAATAAAATTATTAATTAGTACACACAGCCCATCTGTCATGGATGCTTTAGCTGAGATTCCTGCATTGCAGGGGGTTGGACTAGATGACCCTGGGGTCCCTTACAGCGCTATGATTCTATGATAATAATGGTAAACAGAAAATGGAAGATGCAGATATGATCACATACAACGTAAGGCGAGCTCTGTTAGGATTCCATGATGGTAATAAGGGGGATACTTTTTGTCCCAGACGGCGGCATTCAGTGATACTGAACCTCTAAACTTGGGAGACTCAGCTCTAACGGCTCCTTGCCACTGACCTTCACCCCTCCTATTTCACGACTATGGCCGAGTCTCTTTTAGAGGCATGTCACCGGTTGTTCCTCACCGCATCTGGTGGCAGTGAGTTCCGTGAACGAGTTACGGTTGAGGGAGAGATCAGTAATCCAAGGCAACCTTTCAAAAAGTGTTGGGCACGCGGGGGTGGGGAAACGATCGGGTTGCTTTTGGTTTATTATGCATTTTGTGTTTTTATGTTGTGACCACCCTGAGACCCGCGGGTATAGGGCAGCATACAAATTTAATAATGATGATGATAAAGTCAAACCATATAACGCGCGCCCACAAAGCCACCAGAACTGTGCACCACCTCAATATGCAGATATTGTATTTTATCCGTAATTTTAAATCCAGATGCGTGTGCCAAGAGAGCTATGCGTGTCTTTTCTCGGTGCCCGCCCCCCGGCCTAGGCGTTTCCCGAAAGCTCTCCCGGAGACGCAGCTCCTTCCCTTCTTCCCAGCGCCGCGAAGCTTCCCCGGCCGGATTTCTGCCTGCGAGGCCGCCCTGGAGAGGCCACCGCGGAGGGCGCGCCCAAAACAAAGCTTTAATTTTGGGGGGTTGTCGGCCTGCCTGCCTGCCTCCCTCTTGGTCTCCCCTTCTTCCCCGCCTCCTCGCACACGCTCAGTCTGTTCCGGCCGCCGCCTCGCAGCGCCCCCGCGCAAGGAGGAGCCGCCGCCGCCGCGCCGCGCAAGAGCGCTCTCCCGGCGGCGAGGGGCGGTTGGTGGTTGTTTCCGCGGCCTCCATTTTAGGCGTCGCTGCAAGGTCCCGGGCGGCGGGGAGGGAAGCTCCCCGGGCGACGTGGAGGCCCCGGCGGCGGCGGGCCTTGTTGTGACGCCGCGCTCCCGCGTCTCCCGGCGAGGCTTGGGCCGGGTCTGGGCGGCGACGGAGATGGGCGCACGGGGCCTCTTGGCCGGCACTGGCGCACCGCTCGGGCGCCGCTCTTCCTCCTGAGCCTCGCTTCTCGTCTGCCTGCCCGCCTCCCTCGTCGCCGCCCGGGCCGCTCGCCCCCATGGAGACCCCCGCGGCGGGGCCGCCCCCTGTCACGCTCATCATCAAAGCCCCCAACCAGAAGTACACCGACCAGACCATCCGCTGCTTCCTCGACTGGACCGTGGGCAGGCTCAAGGGACACCTCTCCAAGGTGTACCCCAGCAAGCCGGTGAGACCCCCAGCCACCAGACCTCCCCCCCAAAAAAACAACCCCCACCCCACCCCATACAACACTCTTTTCCCCCAGGCGGCTCCTCCTTTCCGTGTCCAAGTTGCCGGCCTTTCGAAATATTGTTTTCCAACCCTGTGTGCCCGAGCTGCGTTTTTACGCAGAGGAGAGCTCCGGTGTCGATTAATGACCGACTCCGGGTGAGAGTGGCTTGGAAATGGAACCTCTCCTCCCTCCTTGGCTTTGTTTTCTGGAGCTGCTGTTTTTTCCCAAGCAGCAGCTCGAGGCTGTGGAAGGCTTTTGTCTGCCTCCCCACCTCGCCTTGTGTGCGTGGAAAGGCATCCCGGGCTGGATTTCTCTGTTACGGGCATAGTAAAGGAGGAAGAGGAAAAGGGGAAAGCCCGGGGGTGCGCTGCTGGACAGCACAGCCGCTTGTCGTCTGTCCCTAAGTTGTAATTCTGCTTTTCTAGACACAGTGGGAGAGACACTGTCTCCTGGGCGTTGGCATCCTGGCCAACAAACCGGGCCTTCTCCTTCTCTCTTGCAGTGCTGAAAAACCCCACTACTCCAAAATACGCTTCAATAAGCTAGCGAGATTGTCTGCCTTGGCCTGGCATCCCGTACACAGCCACTAGTTGCTGGCCCTTCTCTGAATTTTTCTGAGACCAAATGGTCACCCTCGATCAGGTGGCACTCAAGCGTCCTCCGACCTTGCCTGTCCTTTTTCTTCAGTACCAAAGTTACAGGTTTTTCAGTTATTCCTGAAAGTTCCTGCCTTGATTTGGCATCCTCCGAGCAGCAATGCTCTCAGCACGCTTCCCTTCCCTTCTCTTCCCACCATCTTTCCTATAGAAACATATTTCAGCAAACAATACATACAGCGAAGGTCGCTTTGCATATTGTTTAGGTGTATTTTAAAGAAGCTTTAAGCTGGACACCTAAAAATGTAAAGTGGTGAATGCAATAAATGTATGTTTGTGTATGTGTGTTGTATAGGCTTTCTCAGCAGGAAGCTGAGATTGGTTGCACCTCTAGCTGAATGTATAGTTAGGTTTTTCCTTGCATAATGCACAAACTGTACAAAATGGCCCATAAATGCCTGCATATTCGTGTCCTTACACTTTTGGTTAACTGGGCAAGAGATTAGCCAAGACTGGTGATCTCCCTCTGAGTGTTACATACTATGATGCATCCTGCTTCTTGGGGGGAAATGAAGGGCAAACTTTGAAGATTCCAAGGACAACTTGAAAAATAAGAGAAAAGCAGGAAAAGTGTGCTAAAGGGGAGGGGGAAACAAAAGCTTTTTAGAACCCCAGGGATTCCTATTGCCCAAAGTCCAGGAAAATTATCCATATTCTGGCTTCATTCATTGACTAAAAGCACTGACAGATAGGAGCCGACAGGCCAGCTCCTTTCAAAGAAATTTCTTCAAAGGCTGCCTGCACATTTTGCTTCGTAACTTTCTTTCCAGATGGGCCGAAGTCTGACTTAAAAAATAAAATGAAATGAAAGCTCTGAATCTGTTTGCCAGGTATCGAAGCAGTAGGTCTTGCTCCAATGTAAGTGTGCGTGGCATTGCAACCTTCATTTTCTTATCTAGGATCTGCCCACCTCACTCTTTGCACAATAATCTGTTAATCTGTGTAATTGCAGGCAATATTTCCTTCCAGTGGCAACCTCCTGTTTCTTATGACATAGGGCGAGCTTTTCAGGGACTTGCAGTGGAAGGAGCATTTGTTTAACTGGATCCTAACCCTGATGTGCGTTACTGAAGTGTAAATCCATATAAAACAACTTATATATCCCTCTTTTGGAAATACTCCTTGATACAAGGGTCACTGCTACACTGCTGTCATCATTTTGGGTGGAAATCAGGATGTCTTCAATCTAATTGACTTCAATCTATTGACTTCATTTTATAGCAAAAGTATCAACAGATGCAGTCATAGAAAAGCTCATATTCATAGAAAGCGTTCATAACTGCTACATCAGTTAGGAGTACTGCTGTGGAAGCGTACTGTATTTTTACGTGTATAACACGCCCCCATGTATAACACAACTCCTATTTTGGGGGACTCCAAATAAAGAAATCCCACATAACCACGATCCGTGTATAAGACGACCCCCAATTTTAAACTTGAAAAAATAGGGAAAATATATAGTCTTATACATGGAAAAATACGGTAAGTGTATTTTCAACTGTGTGGGAAAACTGTAGGACACAATTTCCCTTTGTAACCTCACTGTGTTAGTGATCTCAATCTTAGCCACAAATCTCGCACTCAAGGGAAGCTTCATTTATATTTATATTTAAAATGTTGCTCCAGGTACTTACTTTTAAATTTAGCAACAACCAACACTTTAAAATGACAACATTTTAACCAAAGTACATTTATTATTGTTCCCTGACCTCAGAGGTTTTATTGGTGATGCGTTTGATAAAGGGAAGGAGAAGCTATTTTGAGAAGTATAGGACATTAAGTATTCACATGCATTTGACTTTAAAGATTAGTTTGAGGAAATGTGCTATGACGAAAGGTGAAAGTGTGCTTAGTTCTGTATAATGTGTGGAAACTGGAATTCTAAAAATAAGTTATGTGCATCTCAAATGTTAACCATCAGCAACAAGAATTTAAGATAAGTCTTCTTCGTATATGATTGTTTCCACCTCTAAATCAGTATGGTTGGGGAGGGGAAATAAGAATTCTCCATTTGTCCCATCTCTTAGTCTACGAAGGATCAGAGACTGGTGTATTCTGGCAGGTTGCTTCCTGATCACCTTCAACTGAAAGATATTCTCAGAAAAGTAAGCGTTACTTTCACAACTTGTATTTACGTACAATCGCTACTTGTAAAAATAAAACAAATGCTGTACGAAATTCTGTTAAACTGCGTAGTGACTACTGTTGTGGGCGAGAGATGCAATTTAAATATTGTACAATTGCATGTAGGAAAGCGGGTGCAACATGATTTGATTAGCTAACTACATAAGCAAAATAATTACTGCAGTATATATTTTAGTTTATTACACTGATATTAGTCGCTGGCTACTGAGATTGCAGGTAAAGGACGCAATGTCCTAACTGGTATACAGCTATTCATGCTGAGGATTTAAAGGTAAGATCTTGCTGTCCCACTGTCTTTGCAATATTTCTGGATACGTGTCTTGAAGTTCAACGTGCACATGACACATCATTCTTACTAAGAAGATTTACATCTTCCAAAGCGGTCCCAGTTTAAATGCTGTCATTCTGCAGATGTGAAATGAATATGCTAAAGCTACTTTTCCAGGTTCTATCTGATACAGTATGAAAATACTGAAAGGTGTCATCATAGAGATGCTCAGATTTGTGCAGGTAGCAATTAGTACACACTCTCTAGATGAAAAGTCAAAATATTGTGGATAAATAAGTGAAAATCTCCAAGGTGACTCATTGCTCAAAAAGGAAGCTTGGGCGTGTGTTGAGGCCCATAATAATGACGAGGTAGGAAAAGCTAGCTTGATACTTAAGTGGATTTACTTAAAATTCCAAGAGGATGCAAGAAAATCTTGACCTCCCCTTTTTGCATTAAATCCCTTCTGATTTAACTCTTAATTGAATAAAAACCAGAACATATTGCAAGACGCAGGTGTGACTTGCTAGAATAAAATTCAAGCTCTTTTTATTTGCTTTCTTATGAATCCGAGTAATTTGCTGTACTATCTGATGACTGTGATTCAGGTGCTTGCACACCTGCCGGCTCTCTGTTGGCACCTTTGGCCCAGCCATGAGCACAAGAGGCAATTTTCATTTCCATAGCTGATCCACAGTGGAGTCCTTGTTTATGAACCTGGAGTTACTTAACAGTACGAATAATATTTCACATTTATGCTGGACGCTTTGAGTTTTCAAAGCATTTTACATACATTAGTCGTCCATACAATATCTGTGTAAGAAAGGTATGCCAGTAACTTTCTCCAGGTATAACCTCTGGTTCACATGTGCTGGACATGCAAGAAAATTAAGGAATTTTGGAATGTAATCTATGATGAGCTTAAAAAAATGATTAAGGTTTTCTCCTAGGGATACTTGGCCCAGACATGCCAAATTTGCGAGAGAAATAGTCTTGTACGCCATTGTAGCAGCAAGAATACTAATCACAATGAACTGGAAAGGAGAGAAGACCCCGTGAAAGCTGGAGTGGCAAAGTAAATGGATGGAGTTTGCCAAATTGGCAAAAATGACAGAAAAACTGAGAGGCAACACTGAACAAATATTTATTTGGAAATGACACATGTATAAAAAATATCTTAAAGATTACTGTAATAATATAAAGTCAGTGGCAGGACTTGAATGACTTCTGTGTTATGATGGACAATTATAAGAGAATATATTATTGATGATTAAAAAGAAAATGGAGATTAGTAGTGCACCAGATAAAATAAGCAGTGAATACATGATGGGGTGGTGGAAAGTTGTTGGGAACGCAAGAAGAGTGTACAGTGAGCAAATATTATTATTTTCTTTTTGTAATTTTGTTTTGACCACATATATATTTGTTATGACCTTTTAAGCTTAATAAAGCATTAAAAAATGGGGGTCCCCAAACCCTCTGGTTCATTATAATAGTTTGTAATAAATCAGTATGGGACACGGGTGGCGCTGTGGTCTAAACCACAGAGCCTACGGCTTGCTGATCGGAAGGTCAGCTATTCGAATCCCTGCTCCTGCCAACCTAGCAGTTCAAAAGCATGTCAAAGTGCAAGTAGGTACTGCTCCGGCGGGAAAGTAAACAGTGTTTCCGTGCGCTGCTCTGGTTCGCCAGAAGCGGCTCAGTTGTGCTGGCCACATGACCCAGAAGCTGTACGCCGGCTCCCTCAGCCGATAAAGCGAGATGAGCACCGCAACCCCAGAGTCGTCCACGACTGGACCTAACGGTCAGGGGCGCCTTTATAAATCAGTGCCTATAGGAGAAAAATACATTTGTCTCCTAAAGACAGTGTGTTTAAACTGTTGTTTCTGAATCACTAGCCTTCCTTGGAAACTAACAGTTTTCTTGATGAGAAGATTGGTAATAGGATCTTCTGCTAAAATTCAGGGGAGCGTTGACCATGTTCTATGCGCACTCTCAATTTGTGGTTAATAAGTTTTCACAATTTTCGTGCGCAGGTGTACCCTGGAGCACATTTCTCCTGAAATGTACAGGGAGTCTCTTGCACACATTCAGAAGTTTGATCACAGACTAATCAATATTGATTGAGCTCAGGGATTCCCTGTGGATAGAAGGTTTGAATTCCACTGCAGGATGAGTTACCATAAGCTTTGTGACTTGCAACGGTTTGCTCTCTGGGAGCTTTTTAGCTGGAATTCCTGTAGAATAGACAGACGTGCCTTTCTCTAAACGCAGGTATTGATTCTGACAGAACAGCTCGGATGAGTACTTGCTTTGGCCGTTGATTTTGAAAATGCAACTTATCTATAGTTTGATAAATAAGCTTTTCTTTGGTGAAATGATTCACCTGTCTGTCTCCAGAGGAAGGGCAGTTTTTTGGGGGAAAGTTCATAAGTTTTAATTAGAAAATTAGATTCTGAACGGAGGACTAGCTGTGGTAAAAAGTGCAATTCTGGTTCTCCTCTTTTGTGTACATTTTTAAGAACAGAAATATTAGTATAAGACGGGTCAGCAACCTAAGGCCCATGGGCCACAAATAGCCCATGGGAGTCATTTAACAGGCCCATGGACCCCCACTGCCCACTCGGTTGGCTCCCATGCGCCGTGCTAAACTGCCACAGAGCAAAGCAGGGACCGCCTTCTGTGACGCTGGCCGGCTTCCCATTGGCTGCAGGAAGTTCCTGCAGCCAATGGGAAGCTACGATGCCTCTTTCGTGTCGGAAAGAGCGCCAGAAATAGCCTTTGCGCATGCATGCATGCATGCGTGTGCACACACACTCTGGTCCACTGCGGTGTCTGTGGGACCATGAACCAGCCCAAGCCACAAAAACTTTGCCGACCCCTGGTATAAGACTTCTCTAATATATATTTTTCCAATATTCTGAAATATATTTTATATTTCAGTGTAACGTATTTACTTGCCTCTGAACCGTTCAGCTGTAATGTGTATATACCAATTTTGTGTTTAAAAATTGCCTCATTTTTCTGCTAAAACTGCTCACTTTTTTATTTTAGCAAGATGAGTATCATATGGTTCATCTAGTATGTTCTTCACGGACACCCCCAAATTCTCCAAAGCCTGATACCCTTAGGGAAAGCAATGGATCATCAGCACCTAGCAACAGCTCGGTGAGTTGGCTTTGTGTAAGGTGCAATCGTTAAAGCTCCGTCAACAATGCTCTTTTACTATAATAAATCCTGACAGGAATATGATGACAGCATAGCCATGTTTCAGTATCAAAGTGCTTGACTATGATCCCAAGAGGAAACAGGTCCTGGGGTGTATAATGGAACTGCAAAATCCCTAGACTGAGTAGGGATCGTTGAACAACTTGCTATTTTTCATGCTGCTGTGTTTGGGGATCCTAGGTGTACTGACATTGCCGTGTCTACTCTCCTCCCCCCCAAATAATTAGTGTGTAATTGTGATATTTTCACTCAGAATAGGAATACGGACCCAATTTACAGAATGCTATTTCTCCCCCCCCCCCGCAAGTCATTGTGATCTTTCCCCCTTAATAGCAAGAACTGCTTTACACATGATGTTTTTCCCACGTGAAGAAAATTTTCATTTTTAAAAAAATATGTTAGCCCTTACTAAGGAAGCAGGCTAGGATTATTATTTACTCAAGAGTCTTAAAGGAAAACAGGAACAAGAAGTCACGGAGAATAATTGCAAACCTAATGGTTCAGGGAAAGTGTTTTGACTTCAGGTGTGAGAGGTATGCAGTGTAAAATACTCCTTTTTTCAAAGTTTGGGGGAACCAAACTATTCAGCATAAAACAGAATCCTTTCTACATCTGATGGAAATTATCGTTTTTTTAAAAAAAGAGTTCAGAACATTCAGGATCGACGACTCCTTCGCCATCTCAAGAATCTTCGCATACAGCTGGCACCGATGGCGTAAGACATCGCAACCTGGCACAGAGAAATCCTGTTCAGAGCCACCCGTTCCCTTATATAATGCAAGGGTAAGTAAAATGCTGAAGGGCTTTTTGCAAGAGCTTTGGTCAAACATTCTGACTCCAGCTACAGAAGCTGAGGCTTGGGCTGGAGTATTGTATACGGGGGTTTGAGAGAGCTGTTGCTGTTACTGATATTATTGTTGTATCTTTAGTTTTAGATCTTATGATTTAGATGGAAATTGTTTCCATTATATTGTGTGCTTTTTGATGTGTTTTATGTATTGTTTATGACTTCCGTTATGTTTGTAATTATGTAAGTTTTGTCATGTTGTCATGTGAGCATAGTTTCAAGTACGGAAAAGCGGCATACAGATAAAATGATGATGTGATGATTCATTTCTTGCAAGGTACTGTAATAACAGGGATGCGGGTGGTGCTGTCGGTTAAACCACAGAGCCTAGGACTTGCCGGCCAGAAGGTCAGCGGTTCGAATCCCCGCGACGGGGTGAGCTCCCGTTGCTCGGTCCCTGCTCCTGCCCACCTAGCAGTTCGAAAGCACGTCAAAGTGCAAGTAGATAAATAGGTACTGCTCCGGCAGGAAGGTAAACAGTCTTCCGTGCGCTGCTCTGGTTTGCCAGAAGCGGCTTAGTCATGCTGACCACATGACCTGGAAGCTGTACGCTGGCTCCCTCGGCCAATAAAGCGAGGTGAGCGCTGCAACCCCCGAGTCGGCCACAACTGGACCTAATGGTCAGGGGTCCCTTTACATTTACCTTTACTGTAATAACAATACTGTATTGCAATATTACGTTTGGCTGAAATGTTAAAAGTCCTGTGGACTCTAACCAGGTTGGAGAAAAAGGCAGCGGATTTCTCCTTGCAAAACAAACAAGCTTCCATTTATTGTATTTGTTTAGTGAATTTATTTTGTAAAATTTATACGCCGCTCAGTGGTAGAAATAAACCCCAGAGCAGTTTGCAAAACAGGTAATCAGTAAGCCTAAGGGCTCTTACAAAATTTCTGTGTGTGAATAACTTGTATTTCCCCACCACCGAGTATAGAATGATTAACTTTTAAGTTTGCTAATGATGCTCTTCGTCATTGCTGTGTTGAGCAATTTTCTAAGCATCTGGTGCTTTTATCAGCACTTTCATCAGCATCCAATAGGCCTTTCCTTCAAGATTTATCTGTTGCATAGCAGTTTATGGAATACATCTGCAAGTGCCGTACACCAAACGAAGATGCCTTCAGTGATTGTTTCTCACTTGTTCTGTTCTAGGCTGACGAAAGTGAAGGACAAAAAAAATGTTATCACTTCTTAGAGAGGGAAACTGGTCAGGGTCACAACTGAGGTTATTCTCTTTTCCCAGCTTCCATCGTTCATTAAAATAATAATTCAAGGCAACTCTTTTCATTCCTGGATCATTTTTACTTCCAAAGAGTTAAAAATCAATTTGGGGGAGGGATTAGTGGGTGACACATTGTTTTTCGAGAAAAAAATAGTGTTGAAGATAGTTGGCAGCTGTATCTGCAGAGGCAGTTATGTTTACTGTGGCTTCCTAGCTCATGCTAAGATTTCTCCATGTGATTATGAAACTTATTAGGTTTCGCTTTCATGTGTGAACTGCAGGTTTGATTAAAAAAACCAGACTGTCTCAAAAATCACCTGGTTTGAAATGAAATCTGAATTTGATACAGGTGTGTTAAAATATATAGTCATACTTTAAACCAGATCCCTTCTATCAGTTGTGTTTAGGCTGTTGTCCTGCTCCCAGTTACCTGGAAGTAAGCCGTATTAAACTCCATGGAAATCACTTCAGAGTCGCTATATAAGATTGCACTATTATCCTGGTTTTTTGTTTACCCGAACACTCTAAATATGTAAAAATGGGTTCATTTACTTCTGTACAAATTATGAATATTTAGACTACCAATCAGATAAACCTACTCATATAGGTGATGTTGAATAGTGCCCTTACAGAGGGAGCCAAATAAAAACCTTTCATTTCATAATGACTTTCCTGTCTTTCAAAAGGCTACAAACCTCTGCAGCCTAGAGGTTTGGGCTTATGCAACTCTGGTTGCAAACCAGTATGTTTTATCTTGTTCTGAAACAAGATGCAAAACTGATTGCTTGATTAAAATCTATCTACCCTGGTGAACTCTACCTGTAGTGTATTAAATTCCAAAATTCACACATAAATGTGTATTGAAACCCACAAAATCTACTCTTTTGCACTCTTGTTGCCTAATACTGATAGCTTATTTCACTTCCTTAAATGCTTTTGTTAGGAAACAGTCAAAGTATTCTTCGCAAGGAAAAATATTTTAAGTAGAGGCACATGTGGCATAATGGAGACCAATCAGATTATTCTCCCAACAATTTTATATTGTATTGTACATCAGAACTTCTAGTATTCTCCCTATTTCTCCCATCTCCTTAGTCTTAGTCTTGAAAGTATATTGTGAATTAGCAAGGTCTCCTGTGGCATCTTGCAGCCAATTTTCTTTCTAAGATAGGAATTGTTGTCTGATGCAATACAGTTGCATCAACTGCTAACACTGTAAATACTTGTTGCCCTTAAAGATAAGATGGGGCATTTCTGTTCTTTAAGATTCTCTTTAATGCACGTGAGCAGCTGACTGTTTTATATCATGCCAGCTTCTTCTAAAATCACATTAGTACTTGCCCCGGCTAACTGAACACTCTGCTTTGCAAATGCTGTAGTTGTAACATGTTATCACACATTTGGTGTGAAGTAGCACATGGCGCTTCTTCCTAAATATTATATGAGTATATTTGTTCTACTGTGAAGTGTTATGTTCTGATAAATGATACCAAAGTGTGATCTTCTGCTTTAATGGAAAATGACAGTGAAAATCACACTCTCTCTCTCTCTCTCTCTCTCTCTCTCTCTCTCTCACACACACACACACACACACACACACACCCCCAACCTGCCAGGGTCTAAATCAGGCTTCCTCAACCTCAGCCCTCCAGATGCTTTGAGACTACAATTCCCATCATCCCTGGCCACTGGTCCTGCTAGCTAGGGATCATGGGAGTTGTAGTCCAAAAACATCTGGAGGGCCGAGGTTGAGGAAGCCTGGTCTAAATTAACAAGGAGGATAGCTTTTTTGGTTGTTGCTGATTACACCTCTCGGAGGCCTGCAGTGGGGGTGGGGGCTGTGTTGAAATGCTCTTGAATTTCCTGTAGTACTAGATTTCTGCATGCTTGCAAAATGCTAAATTAAATTTAGTAAGGAAATTAAGTTTTAAGGAAAATGTGCACAGGTGAAATCACCCTGTTAACACATAATACCTGATTTCTGATTTAGCGACTTAAAAGCAGACTGTCATCTCCTTTTGTCTTTGTGGGGAAACGTGTTCTATGTAACTTTGGATATTCCGTTGATATCGGACAACCTTGCATGTAATTTGCTTTGCTTGTCTGCAGCAATGTAGGAAACCAGTTCCCTGGGCAAGGAGTGCCAGCTGCTTTTCCTGTGTACCCTGCTTTCAGCCCACTGCAGATGATTTGGTGGCAGCAGATGTATGCCCGCCAGTATTACATGCAATAGTAAGTACAAACGGTGCGTTCTTTAAATTAGTATTGAGACAGTAGAGTGGCAGTTAAGACTTAGAGACGAGACTTGGTTATTCTTGAGTAGGCACTAGGACACCCCCAAGCGAGTCTTGTTACCCTCCACTTGCTTGAAGCTGCTCTAGTGCGCCCTCAGAAACACCTTTCAGGTGAGTGCCAACGCTACCTTCCCTGGGCTTTGGTAAACTAAATGTGAAAACATATTTTGCCCAAAACATTCACCATATTAATTTCTCCTTTGTGAGAAATGCTTACAAATGCAGCCTTACTTTTAGTAATGCTTTATATTGGAGAAAAATGAATATAAGTTTGTGGGATGTGATACATAAGTAGCAGAAAATACAACATTCCTTGTTTTCCTAGAGTGGACATGCAAGGGATGTTTAGTTGGAACTTCCTGTTTCCTCCTGGGCTGGGAAATACTTCCTTTGCATGTGATTAGAGGTGGGCGTGACCTTACCTGTGCAGGTATCAAAAGCACAAGGCACGCAACACTCTCTCTTTGACATCGTCTGTCATTGGAGCAACAGCTCTTTTTAGCTAGAGATGCCCTGTTGGCTTTTAGCCAACAGAGGACACTGGGACTATCTCCATATGGCAGGTATGTCAAAAGTCCGTTTTGGGAGCCTAATCCGGCCTGGTGGTCAGTTTATTCCGGCCCCCGTGGCTGTTTATTTCCTGGGGTAAAATCCTAAAAAAAAAGCTCAACAACTTCAACTTCAGTACTGAATTGTATGATAAAAAGGTCTGAATTGTATGATAAAAAGGTAAAGGTACCCCTGCCCATACAGGCCAGTCGTGTCCGACTCTAGGGTTGTGCGCCCATCTCACTTAAGAGGCCGGGGGCCAGCGCTGTCCGGAGACACTTCCGGGTCACGTGGCCAGCGTGACGAAGCTGCTCTGGCGAGCCGGCACCAGCGCAGCACACGGAAACGCCGTTTACCTTCCCGCTATAAAGCGGTCCCTATTTATCTACTTGCACTTAAGGGTGCTTTCGAGCTGCTAGGTGGGCAGGAGCTGGGACCGAAGGACGGGAGCTCACCCCGCCGCGGGGATTCGAACTGCCGACCATGCGATTGGCAAGCCCTAGGCGCTGAGGATTTACCCACAGCGCCACCCGCGTCCCCGCGAATTGTGTGATGGTGAGAGGCTTAAACAAGCCTGCAGCCAGCTACCCACTATGTGTTAAAAGGGGAATGCACTCTGCTAAGTACAGTGGTGCCCCGCAAGACGAATGCCTCTCAAGACGGAAAACCCGCTAGACGAAAGGGTTTTCCGTTTTTGATTTGCTTCGCAGGACGAATTTCCCTATGGGCTTGCTTCGCAAGACGAAAAAACCGCTAAACGAAGACACTCGCGGAACGGATTAATTTCGTCTTGCGGGGCACCACTGTAAAGGGACTTGCTAATGCAAGTTAAGAAGGATATTAATAAACAATATATCCTCTCCTGCATCCCTGAACATTCCCACAAAGTTGACTTGTGTTATTGTTTCATGTATTCTTGTTTCATGGTGAAGAGCATTCTTAGGACCTTGTCTTCCTATCCGTTGGCTTTCAGGATGGGCTCTGCCGGAAAGTGACAGGCCGCCGTGCCATGAAACAGCTCTGTGTTGGCCTCCCTTGTCATTTGCCACAAATTATATTGCTTTATGAATTCACCACAGTGGTGCAGTGGGCAGTATTGAAGGGGAAGTGTAACCTGTGCCAGGTTATGAACGCATTTGCCCCGGGTAGTTCAGCTGACGATTGTGAAGAATGTTCGTGCATAGATACCTAACAAAGGTGGTGGTTGTTTTTTACACTCCTCAACAGTCAAGCTGCAGTTTCAGCCCAGGCAACGCCCAGCACGGAATCAGACAGCCCCCCCGTTCCGCAGCCCCCCAACTCTGAGCGTGCTCCTGCCAATGAGCCCCCAGCAGCACCCAATGTAGCTCCACAGGAGAACAGGCCTGTCAATCAGAATGTGCAGATGAATGCTCAAGGCGGCCCAGTGATGAACGAGGAGGACTTCAACCGAGACTGGCTGGACTGGATGTATACCTTTTCCAGAGCAGCTATCCTCCTTAGCATTGTCTACTTCTATTCGTCCTTCAGTCGGTTTGTGATGGTGATGGGAGCCATGCTGCTGGTTTACCTGTGAGTAAATACTGCTGATTGATACATCTCTTTCGTCTGAATACAGAGCACTCCCCCAAGTACAGCATTTCGACAGTCAATGCAGATCAGTACAGTGGTACCTCAGTTTACAAACTTAATCCATTCCAGATGTCCATTCTTAAACAGAAACCATTCTTAAAACGAGGTGCACTTTCCCTACTGAGGCCTCCTGCCGCCGGTGCCCTTCCACTGTTCGGCTTCCGTTCTTAGACCGAGGTAAAGTTCACAAACCAGAACACTACTTCCGGTTTTGCGGCGTTCGTAATCCGAATCGTTCGTAAACAGGACTGTTCGTAAGCCGAGGTACCACTGTATTGGTTTCCCTGTATCGTGTAGCGGAGTTTGCCCAAGGAAGATGGTGCCTTGCCCAGTCCCTTCATGGCCAAAGTGAGATCTGAACCAGGGGCTTCCCAGTCCCTGTTGCTTTCCTCTGCTCCAGCCCAAGTTTGACCATTAGCATAATCCATGTAAATAATGGTTAAGGGTTTTCTTGTCAGTTACGTGATCAGAATCCGAACTTTAAAGTTTGACTGATGCAAAACTAATCATTTCTATTAGTACAGTAGACGCTCGGGTTGCAAACATGATCCGTGCGGGAAGCACGTTCGCAACCCGCAGCGCTGCATCTGCGCATGCGCGGGTCACGATTTGGTGCTTCTGCGCAAGCACTGAAACCTGGAAGTAACCTGTTCTGGTACTTCCGGGTTCGGTGCAGTGCGCAACCCAAAATCGCACAACCCGAAGTGTCTGTATCCCGAGGTATGATTGTATTTAAAATGCGCTAAAAACAAAATTAATTAAAAAATTGTACTTCAGGATAAATACTTAGCATGTGATATCTGTATGTTGTATGAGCTTGCCATTCTAATTTCCAAAATTAATACTCTTAACACCTCTAACAACGTGGAATCTTACTGGTTTCCTTCAGGAGGCTGAGGCATGTAATAGGAGCTGAATTTTCTTACATTGTTTTCAAAGACCTATTTGAAACAGATGAAACAGCACATATAGTATCAGTGACTGAGCATCTTAAAGACGAAGCTTTTATTAATGCAAACTGAAGGAAGAATGAATCTGAGTATTTTGAGCATTGCTTTCTGTGAATGGGGGATTCCACAGGGGGAGCGTTGTAGATCAACACAAAACAGTTGGGTAGGCACCCTGTTCACATGCATCTGAAGTTGTGTAGTGTGCTTGCACAATGGGGAGTAGAAATTAATCCTGATTTTGACAAACAAATATATCATGGCTTGAGTATGTGCGCATTGGGCTCTAACATTAAGCTCTCACACAGTATGTGGGCATGTGCTGGGTTATTTATACTCGGAGAAAACGGGTGTGTGATCTCCATGTGTACCCTCTGCATTGGATCAAGAATATATATAATAATATATATTAATGTTTGGTTACGTTTGCCATGGTTGTCGTGTGCTCATCTGAATGAAAGTAGAAACTACCAGTGTATCTACATTCTGTCCTGTGAATTAACTTGAACCATATTTTACAGAAGCAACATCTGCTATTTTTCATATTCTTTAATAAGCTTAAACCATTTTTAAGGGCAGAGACAGAGCCTTAATTGCTCTATTGTCTATCATGATGTGCAGAGCTTTTCTGTAAAACCAGCTTTTCTGTAAATAATTTACTTTGGCAATAACAAGAATATTCAAATGATTTAAACTGAGCCTTTCGTAACTTTCCTAAAATTTCTGCAAGCTTGCCTAGGTCATGCAGCTAGTTCCACGTGTGGTTAAATAGGGACCTCTCTTCCCATTTTAGTGACTATTGGCATCTGATTTGGTCTATTCCTTCTCTACAAATCTGGTTGAAGAATGAGCCTTCCAGTGGAGAGCTATTTCACTGTTCCATTGCCAACATTCTGTTTGTTTTCTCAGGTCAAGCAGGTATGATTTCTAGTAACTTTGCACATGTGTATTGTAAAACAGACACCAAGCTGGCTGGTTTCCATTCAGGCAAGAGGGACTCCAACAGCCTCCAGGGAACAATGAAGACCTGAACCACGATGGGCAAAACGTAAATAATGCTGGACTTGAGGAGATGGTAGGTGGATGCACATTCATGTTTACTTCCCAAAAAACATACAGCTGGAGAGTGGTGCTGTTGGCAGTTTTAAGATGTGCTGACAGCTCTTCCTTTAAAAGTGAGCTCTTACATTAAGGTAATGAAATTAAATTAAGACTACCATCCCATGTTCAGTTAACCTGGGAGTAAGCTTCTGGGACATGGGTGGTGCTGTGGGTTAAACCACAGAGCCTAGGACTTGCTGATCAGAAGGTCGGCGGTTCGAATCCCCGCAATGGGGTGAGCTCCCGTTGCTCGGTCCCTGCTCCTGCCAACCTAGCAGTTCGAAAGCACGTCAAAAGTGCAAGTAGATAAATAGGGACCACTCCGGCGGGAAGGTAAATGGTGTTTCTGTGCGCTGCTCTGGTTCGCCAGAAGCGGCTTAGTCATGCTGGCCACATGACCTGGAAGCTGTACGCTGGCTCCCTCGGCCTGTAAAGTGAGATGAGCGCCGCAACCCCCGAATTGGCCACGACTGGACCTAATGGACCTTTAAGCTTCTTTGAATGGTGGAACTTTCTTAAGGTCTATAGGGCTGTAGGGTCAAATGGTTAAATTGCACTTTTCAGATACATCATGTTGCATTCTCTCATTTTGTCAAATTTGCCAAATTATTATATCCGACTACATCATAGGTTTCTTTTTTAAATAAAGTTTATTTTTGCATTTTCTATTTTACATAAACAAATGAATTAACTACATAAACATATAATCCCTTTAGACTCCCCCCATTGTGGATCTTAATGTAATGATTTCCCCCTCTGCATCTCTTTCATAACACTATTTTTATAAATCCTTTGTCAATCCACAGTTCAAATTTTTACTACAAGTTTTCTGCCAACCCTACCAATGTATGTAATTGTTTACAGTAGCTTTTCAAATGAATTATAAACTTTCCCCCTTCTTCATTAGAGAAAGGCCTCCTCTTCCTGGTTTCTAATTCTTCCTGTCAGCCTTGCCACCTCGGCATAGTTCATCGATTTTGTCAGAAGTAAGGCTTCCTGTTCTGATGCCCCTCTTGCATCTGAGAAAGCGCTGGATGCATCCCAAATGGCATTCGGGATTTTAGAAAACTGAGAGACCCATGCAGTGTTCCTTAGGGAAAAGAGACGACTCTTTCACTGGTTTTCTTAAAGATTCGTTTAGGGCAGGGCTGGGTTGCCCATGGACCTCCAGATTTTTTTTCTGGATTGCAACTCCCATCATCATCATCATCATCACCATTAGTGTGTGTAATAGTTACTTTTACTCTGCCTTTTTTCCTGGCAGAGACTCAAGGTTGCTTACAGATAAAATAAAAAGGTAAAGGGACCCCTGACAGTTAATTCTCCGCTGGCCCAAGTAGGACCAATTCAGCCAGCTAGCCCTGGGGATTATCTAATCTTTTATTTTTGAATTTATTGTTATTCATGTTTTTATACTGTATTTTATGCTGCTTTTATAATTAGGTGTTTTAAAGTGTTTTAAATTTGTTGTTAGCCACCCTGAGCCCGGTTTTTGAACCGGGAAGGGCGGGGTATAAATAAAATATTATTATTTTCTTTGGTCAGAGTTGTACCATCTTTTCATTTCTGGGCTAACAAGAGCCCTACATGCTAGAATTCTGTATATATAACGTGATTCCATCCGTGCAATTTATATCCCTCTGATTTGACACGGTTAAACCACTTGGGGAATTTGTTTTGCAAAGGAGCACCTTATGGACGACGGGATTGACGAAGACAGCGGCGAAGATGTCGTTGACGTCAACGCAGAGCATCCGCATCCCGGCTTCATGGCTTCCGCCTGGTCCTTCATCACCACTTTCTTCACGTCCCTCATCCCCGAAGGGCCTCCACAAGTTGGCAACTAAGCCAGGCAGGAGCCGTCAGTAGCAGAGGAGAGTTATGCTCAAAAGTGGAAGTTGACTCTGGGCAGGGGGTATTTTAAATACAGTGCAATTTCAAGATTTATAATGTAAACTTTCTGATCATGGTGTACAAAAATGTGTATTTTTCTCTCTCTCCGCTTTCTCATGCTTACGGATATTTTAAGCAGAAATGGACTACTAAATGCTTTTTAAAAGATTCTTTATGTAAAGAAGAACAAATGTAAAAAAAAAAAATTAGTCTTCCATGTTTTTTTTGTTTCAGTTGTGATAACACTGAGGCGAGACGCTTGTAGTTGGTGTGCGGTGTCATCCCTTTAAAGAGTTGTTAAAATACAAATATCGGGAGGAGCTCTATGGAAATAAGACCCTTCGCAGTAAAAAAACAGTGCCTGTATAGGAATCATTGTGTATGTGGTTTTTAAAATTGCTTAAAGTAAATCTGCACCATAGTTTTGAGTTGGAGGCAACACCGTTTTGCCAGGGGCATGTATTCCACCCCCTTCACTTCATGCCACAAATGACATAGCAGCTCTTCAAAGGGAACAGACAGTGATCGAGTGCACTACAAACTGTTTAATACATGCTGTACTTTTTTTTTTTAAATACATGTACTGGGAAGCACAGAAACATGTAATTAGTTTTTTAATTAAACAAAAAAGAAAAGCTACGGTGAAAAGAACACACATTCTTTTGAATTCTTCTGTATTCGTCTCCAGCAGGGGTGACCAGCTCCCAAGAGACTGCGATCTACTTACAAAATTAAAATCTGACAGTGATCTACCCCCATTTTGGGGGGATTCAGGTCAAAGATGTGGAGCTTTTTTTAGGGAAGAGGAAAGCCCCATTTTGGGGTGATTCAAGTGATAGTTTTTGAGGGGTTTTTTTAGGGAGGAGGGAAGTCCCGTTTTTATTTTTTAAAAATCATTTTTATTAAGTTTTCCGTTTTAACAATCCAGTCAAATCACATAGTCTAAATCAAATAGTCTAAATATTCTGCCTAAATTATAATTTTTTTTTGTTGGGACTTCCCATGCTTCAAGTTCGGTTGGGGCTCTGATCATCTCATATCTTCTGCCTTGGATAGTCTTTCCAATAGTTCCTTTAAATCTTCCTGCTGTTAACCTTCCTTCTTTCATGGCCTCTGAGTTGTTTCCACAAGCGAGTTGAAGTATGCAATGATGTGTTTCTGTGTGGATTTTATGTGTATGATTCCCCTCTGTTGTTGCAGTATCTCCTCACACACTGGTGTTTGTGCCAAATCAATCCATAAGTCATTTCGCTGCCGGCAGACGCCATCTTCTCCCAGTTCCGATGAAATCAAATCTAGGCGTTTGCTCATTAATTTTCCCAGACCGCTTGCATCAAACATTAGCCTTTCCAGGGGAGATTTACCAAATCTGACTTGAAATACAGATAATGACATATTAAGAGCTTATCTCCTCCTATTTATAACTCTGCAGCTCAGTCTTATTCCATCATGGCATATTTCCAAATTAAAAAGTGCATCACATCTCAACATTTTAGGAACAGGAAGTCCTGTTTTTAAGGGTTTTGGGAGATAAAGAGGAACAGCCACTCACCAACAGATCGCTGGGGAAACAAACAGCCTCACTGAGTAAGCTCCCATCTTTTGTTCTGCAGATCGTGCAAGAATGGAGGGCGGGACAAGGGGGCAGGCCTGGATTCTATTTTACCAATGCGATTGACCGCGATCTACCCAAACCTCCTGGGGATCTACCAGTAGATTGCAGTCAACCTCTTGGACACCCCTGATCTAGAGGAACACTCCATACGACTCAAGAGCGTGGCTGTGCAAAGGGAAGAGGCACATAGGTTTTTTTCGGGTCACCTCCCTCTGGTAAAAAACTTAACAGAGGATTTAGAACTTGCCTTTGTAGAAGATAGGGATTGTTGGTTTTCTTCAGGAAAAAAGCGGGAGTCAAGTAACTCCGAAGGATTTATAATCGGGGTTTGTTGGCACCTTGTACTATGCGTTGCATGTAGAGAACCCCGTTTTTTGAATCTGGCCTAACCTGTTAATCCGAATCATTCTTTTGGCACACTCTAAACACAACATGTTTTAAAGGTGGAGCGATAAACGTAGGAAAAAAAATTGTATTTTGCAGGCCCTAAAAATGCTGAAGTCTTAACTGTTTATATCTGGAAAATCCTGAAGTTGCTGGACACATCTATCAAAATGTTCACTGCTGAACCCAGCAGAAAGGGAAAACCCAGTTTCAAAAGGAAAATTGCAGAAAGAGGAGAAAGAGAAAGAACGGAAGACCTATTCTTTGCAATTATTTAATTAAGTTTGAGAAGCAGAACTAAGGAAGAAACTATTAACTCCATCATAAATGTAAAAAAAATAATGTTTTGGAATGTCAACACTGCTGCCACTTTAAAAAATATCAAGCCACAGTATGTTAAATTTCAGGTGGTCTTGGTATTTCAGAGGGTGTCATAGAATCCCCCCCCCACTCCCTGGGCCTATAAAAATTCAGTTTATTTGGTTTTTCCATTTAAACATATATAACCACATCATTACTATCCACTTTCCCTCTTTGGCTCTTTAGAGCCTATCAACGTCCTTCCCTCCCACCTCTTGGCTTTCAAAATTAACCTTTATATCACAGCGTTTTATATATTTTCCAATTCTAATAAAACTCATCACAAAATACCTCAAAGTTTGAATAAATGTAGAAAGGTAAAAAAATTCTCATTACAAGTCTTCAGATAACCCTACTAGTGTTGTTAACTGCTTACAATGATCTTTCAGATATTGTATAAATTTACTTCAGTCTTTTTGGAATACTTGATTGTGCTGGTTTGGTCAGCTTTTCCAGTTCTGCAAAGTCCCATCATTTTCATCTGCCACTCTTCTTTCACTGGTACTTGTGTTGTTTCTATTTTTGGGCTAAATGGGTTCTTGCCGCTGTTGTTGCGTACATGAACAGTCTTATATCTTTTCTTGATATTTCTTCACCCAGTAAAAAAGGCTTTTGGTTTTTTAACAAAAGTGTTTTTAAACATCTTCTTTAACTCATTATATATCATTTCCCAGAAAGCCTTTTTACTACATATGGTAAAAGATACCTTCCTTTTATGGAAGTTCAGTTTGAACGCCTAGTTTTGGTGGGCAGGAAGCAAACAGTTCAGCTGTGCAAAAGGTGTTTTCGCTGGCCAAGGGATAACTGGCCACTTGGCATACAGTCTTGTAATACTGAGGGAGGGAATAATTTGGTGCCAACTTCAGAATTATTGTGGGCACCCTCCAGTAAAGGAATTTGCTCTGGTCTTGTCTACATCTTCAGCCTCTTGTCGCTGAGCTTAACTGATGGTAGTGACTAACTACAGGTTGCTTCCTTTCATGGTAGCAGCCCATGAGCCCATCAGTTCTATGTATAAGAGGTTCCTTATTTTTTCTGGCACTGTAATGATCAGGACTGGATTTAGGTTTGATGAGGCCCTAAGCTACTGAAAGCAATGGGGCCCTTTATATGTCCAGCTGTCCTCTGTCAACAACAAATTGTCGCTGTTCTTTTGTGTTGAATATATATGGAAATTTATGGACCTAATAGGTATCTAAAGCCATTTGTACATAACAAATAGGAGCCTACACAACACAAAACACTGTTGCTGTATGTAGGTTTTATTTTATTTTTATCTTATTTTGGAAATGTACATCCAGGGTTTTTTTCCTCTTTAAATTTTTTGGGGCCTCCCAAGAGAGTGGGGCCCTAAGCTATAGCTTGTTTAGCTTATACGTAAATCCGGCACTGGTAATGATACTGGTTTTTTGTTTCCACAAGTCTGAGATTTTTTTTATTTTATTTTTAAAAAGTATGTAGTTTAAAACTTTCACATAACCAAGTTATAGTTTGGCAATTCAAAAGGAGAAATTATTTCCAAAATTCGAGTGAGCCAGTCTTTGAGTGCATCTTGGCCCCGATGGTGCTGTCCTTCTGTTTTGTGGCTTAGGTGTACGCAGCAGGAAATGGTCTTAGCAGATTTCAGCTTGAGCCACGTGAAAAGATTTTCAGCAACTTGGAAGTGTGTTTGTCCTCTGATACCAACAACTTACCATATTTCTTGCTCTATAACATGCACCAGACCACAAGATGCACCTAGTTTTTGGAGGAGGAAAACAAGAAAAAAAAATATTCTGAATCCCAGAAGCCAGAACAGCAAGAGGGATCGCTGTGCAACGATCCCTCTTGCTGTTCTGGCTTATGGGATAGCTGCACAGCCTCCATAAGACACACACACATCTCCCCTTTTTAGGAGGGGGGAAAGTGCGTCTTATAGAGCGAAAAATACAGTACTTGAAGGTCCAATCCAATCCGAAGGAAAGAAACAAATTTAGGACAGAAGCCACAGTCTATCCACAGTTTATTCTAATATTGCTTGCTGATCTCATGGTTACTAATAGCACTGGTGGTGGTGCACTGCAATTCGATTGTGTAATCTGACCCTGTTCTTTTGTTCAGCACCCATGTGACAATTCATCACAGGAACATTTTGATTGGTTCTGCTACTTTGGTGGTGGTGTGTCAATTCAGCACATGTGAGGCAATGCCTGCTCTTTCTGTTTCTGTTTCTATGTGGCATGTCCTGGGTTGGCCCATTGGGGTTTAATTCTCCAAGTAGCTGCTATGTACAGCTCTGAGTCCTGCATGTGCACAGAGTTCTCCAGGATCCACTGCAATATTGCGAGAGATCCTGGAATGTACCTTTGGAACAGATGCCAGAAATAGTCTGAGATCTGAGAAGTGTCACCTTGTGTAATCTATCTCCTAAGTTTCTTACAAATACAGTGGTACCTTGTTTTGAGTCCAGGATCCTTTCCGGAGCCCCGGACACTCGACAAAAGGGATGCTTGACAAAATGCCAATGTGCACACGCACATGAGCAGTTTTGTGCTTCTGTGCGTGCGCAAGCAGCAAACCCGGATGTGAACCGTTCCGGTACTTTCAGGTTTGCCGCGGACGTTCCACGAAATGGACGCTAAACAGTGCGGACTCACAACGAGGTGCTACTGTATATATGCTGCTAGCACTTCTACTGTAGAGAGCAATTGCAATATTGTTGGCACCCATGTGTCTCGGGAGACAATGGACCAGTGCCTTTGGAAGTGGAGTCAGACTGTTGGAAGGTTATGACACCTGCTGTGACACTGCTATGGATGCATAACCTGTCTCCAGACATTGCAGCTGTGTACACAGGGGCGGAGGAAGGGGGGTGCGGTGGGTGCAGTCCGCCCCGGGTGTCACCACTGAGGGGGGGTGACAAAATGCCGGGTGGCACTCACTGCGTGGCCTGCAGCTCTCTTGGGAGAGACGCGGTTGCTTGGGCGTGCGCAGGGTCTGTGCTGCCCAAACTGTCTGCCCACTGCCTCCCCTCAGCTGTAGGACAGCTGAGTAGGAGGAGGCAGGCAGACTCTGGAAGCCCCATGGTGCGCCCCGCCCTCACCCCGCCCCTAAGGGTGGAAAACCCCACCCCTGGGCGCACCATCCCAGGCGCCCAAGTGGCTTCCTCCACCGCTGCATGTACAAGGGATTCCTACACGGTGGAGTTGAAGTGTCCAGCCTTCATGTCATGTTTGCGAACACCTTTGTAGCACAGAGTTGGTCTGCCAACATCATGCCTGAAGCCAGCTCTCCATAGATCATGCCCTTGGGCATGGGTAGGCAAATTAAGGCCCGGGGGCCGGATCCAGCCCAATCACCTTCTAAATCCGGCTCGCAGACGGTCCGGGAATCAGTATGTCTACATGAGTAGAATGTGTCCTCTTATTTAAAATGCATCTCTGGGTTATTTGTGGGGCATAGGGATTCGTTCATATTTCCCCCCCAAAATATAGTCCGGCCCCCCACAAGGTCTGAGGGACAGCGGACCAGCCCTCTGCTGAAAAAGTTTGCTGATCTCTGCCCTTTGGGATCCTGTCAATGGATTGTTGTGGTTAAGTATTAAAAGCATATTGACAAAGGCTTTGGAGAAGAGCCTTAAAAATGATAACAGTTTAGACACAATTGGAGTGAGAAGCTGCAGCTGCTACTGACAAGTTTCCAGATTCTTAGCATGATCTTGGATGAGCAGGTATAATTTATGAGCAGGTGGAATAACAAACTCATTATCCAGTTGTGGCTTCTTATGCAATCAAAACAGCAAACACCACCCATGCACAAGAAGGAGGCATTGGGCTTAGGGAAAACCCAAGGTTTGCAGATGTTTACATAACCTTTGGGGAGGAGGAATGTTTTGGGGGGCAGAGCCCCAAAACAGCCGAAGTGGAATGGAGCATACAGTCATCAGGGAATGCTGAAGACAGTTGATTTTTTTGGAAAATGAGTGGGGAGACAAATGGAAGAAAACATGGTTGCCTGGTTGGCTAGCATGCTGAACAGGAACACTCCCCACTGCAAAAATTTTGCTGTAGGTCCTACTTGTTGCCCCTACAATCTAAAACAGGGGTCAGCAAACTTTTTCAGCAGGGGTCGGTCCACTGTCCCTCAGACCTTGTGAGGGGCCGGACTATATTTTGAGGGGGGAAAGAACGAATTCCTGTGCCCCACAAATAACCCAGAGATGCATTTTAAATAAAAGGACACATTCTACTCATGTAAAAACACACTGATTCCTGGACCGTCCGCGGGCTGGATTGAGAAGGAGAAGGCCGCATCCGGCCCATGGGTCTTAGGTTGCCTACCCATGATCTAAAACAGTGGTTTTCAACCAGTGTGGCATGGCACCCTGGGGTGCCTTGAATGATGGTCAGGGGTGCTATGGGCAACACTGCCCCTTTCCCCTTTCCTCTCTCCTCTGGTGCCCTCTTGCATCTCTGCCTCCCAAATGCTCAGGCAACTGTTTGTTGCAGCAGCCCTGGCCGCAAGCTCCCTGGGCGAATGGTGCCTCTGGGGCTGGCCAGGGGGTGCTGGTTGCCAGGAGCTGAGGTGGCCTCGGGGCAAGCAGGCAAGTGGGTGAGGGAGCCCAGCCAGACAGTCCACCAGCAATTGCTGTTGGGAATGGACAGACAAGTCCCAGGCCTCTGTGGGGCAGTGTGAGGAGGCACCTCTCTTTGGGGCAGAGGGGGGCAGCTCAGAGACCAAGGGTGGCAGCAGTAGCTGCCCGGAAGACTCTCAATGAGAGGATGAGGGAACCCTCCACAAGGGAGGGTGTTTGAAAAGGGGTGAGAGGCTGCCAGCTCTGCAGGCAAGAGGTGACATAACTAGGCTCCTGAGCCCCATGAGGGTGCCTCAGAAAAATGTAGTTGGTCAAGGGAGCAGTGGACTCCAGAAGGTTGAAAATTCTGATGTAAAAGACAACAGCTAGGAGCCTAAACTATTACCAACCATAGACCTTTGTTGTTGTTTAGTCGTTTAGTCGTGTCCGACTCTTCGTGACCCCATGGACCAGAGCATGCCAGGCACTCCTGTCTTCCACTGCCTCCCGCAGCTTGGTCAAACTCATGTTCGTAGCTTTGAGAACACTGTCCAACCATCTCGTCCTCTATCATCCCCTTCTCCTTGTGTCCTCCATCTTTCCCAACATCAGGGTCTTTTCCAGGGAGTCTTCTCTTCTCACGAGGTGGCCAAAGTATTAGCGCCTCAGCTTCAGGATCTGTCCTTCCAGTGAGCACTCAGGGCTGATTTCCTTCAGAATGGATAGGTTTGATCAGATCATAGACCTATCCTTGATCAAGTTACAA